ACCAATTTAATTTGATTGAATTACTGATTAATTGACCTGGAATAAGTAGTTTTTCATTAATGCTGGCTCTATTTGGAATTGCCATTTTTTCAAAAACAAGTTTTCCAAATACAATGCTACAATAATACACAATAAATCAAAAAACATCTCATCCATACAATATATCAAATATTTCAAAAAAAAAAATTTAGTCTGTAAATTTTTTTTCATATACATTGTTATAATAAAATTTTTCAAAAATACCTCAAAAAACAGTTAATTCAAACGGAGCGCCATTGAGGATCTAGAAAGATTATAAAGCGAGAAAAGAAAAACCTAAGGGAAGAACTTGGAGTGTATGTGGACAGAAGATCATTTGGAATAATATTTTAAAAAAGTATTATAACACTTATTTTGATGTGATATAGGTAAAATAAAAAATAATTTTAAAATATGTTAATAATACAAGTAAATGAAAATTAGCAAACTAAAGTACAATGAGTCCATTTAGATTAGCTATTTTTAAAAAATATTACTATAGCAGAGTTTTTATACCATATTTTAGAAAATATTTTAAGATATTTAAGAGTCTTTCTTAGGATATATTTTGAAATATTTTTTAACTTTTAAAAAATTTAGACTATTTTTTAGAGTACTTTTTAAAATTATTTTGAAATATTTTAGAATAAAAGAGTTTTTAGAATATATTTTGAGATACTTTTTAAATATTTAAAAAAATTTAAACTATTTTTAAAATATTTTTTAAAAATTTAATTTTTGAAAAACTCTTTGGATTAGCTGTTTTTGGGGATGTTTTTGAAAAACTTTGCTGTAGCAGAGTTTTTAGAGTATATTTTGAAATATTTTTAGAAAATATTTTGAAATATTTTTTATTGGCACTTTATTTTGAGATATTTGGTAAAATTTTAAAAAATTTTAAATTAATTTTTAGATTATCTTTTAGAATACTTTGTTGTAACTTTTATTGTTTTTGAAAAACTGTTTTTGAAAAAATAGTCAATCCAAACGAGCTTGAATCCAAATAGAGCCTATTATTTTTGACATAGGGAGGAGGAGTAAACGCAGCAGAAGATACATACAGAGTAAAAAGGGTAGGGAAGAGAGAATGAATGAAACGTCGCGGCATTACGAGTTCGGGATTTTCTGACAACGTGGCAAAGCCAATCCGCTTTATCCCCAAATTTACATACACGTGTCCGTAGCTTCCGTTATCTCATAATCCTCGTCCGTTGAGGAGACATCTTTTTGGACGCTTGTTTGGCTTTTTGACGTCGTCATCCCCGTCCTCGTCCTCCAAACCAGCTTGTCTTAACCACGTGGGTCGTCTCATGATACTTCACCCCATCCACGTGTCACGTCTAACTCATTTGCGTTTCAATATCTCTGTCCTTTTTCGTCTTTTCATGCTCCCCAGGCCAATTTCAAGTTCTCCCTTTTATTTCTTTTCCCCAGTTTCTTTCCCATTGCTCTTTTCATTTATTCACATTTGTTTATGTTGTCTCCCTCGCGGTCATGGCGCTCTCCACCTCGCCGGCGAACTCTTCCCTCGAAATTCTTTTGAGTTCCTTCTTCACATTATCAGAGATTTGCACAACTTGTTATTTTACCTTGTTATGAGGTTTTCTGGACCCATAAATCTGTTTCTTTCCTTTTGTCTTTGTTTTTTTCCTTGTTCTCTTTGGCGAGGGAAAATGAAATTTACTTGAATTATTACTGGTGGAGTAAGACTATTTCCATCTGAGCATCTTCAAGATTGAATCTTTTTGGGTTTTCTATTAATGATGCTGGTGAACTACATGGCAGAGGCTGGAGAAAATAAAGGAAAGGGCCATTTGCCCACTCAAGTCAATGGATTTTCAAAAGATCTACTGTTCAATAACTTGCCGAACGGGAATACTTTATCAAGAAAATTCGGGGTTGATAATGGAGAAGAAGAGGTGGAGTTAAGTTTGGGGCTGTCATTGAATGGAAGGTTTGGGGTGGACCCAAAACAGGCTAAGATGAAGTTAATGCGATCTTCTTCTGTATTAACTTTCATGTACGCTGGTGTTGCAGGCGGTGAAGAAAGCCACGCGTCATTGGTGCCAATTGCTTCGTATTCGCCGTTGTCAAGGACTTGTTCTCTGCCAACGGAGACAGAGCAGGAGTGGAGGAAGCGGAAGGAGTTGCAGTCGTTGAGGAGGATGGAGGCTAAAAGGAGGAGGATGGATAAGATTAAGATTATGAGGGTTGGGAGGGAGAAGGTTGAGCCGGAGGATTATTCTGGTGAAGAAAATGAGAGTAATGGTACTAATACCAATAATAGTTGCCAAGGTTTAGACAGCATTAATGGGAACGGGAATGGAAATATGATGCCATCATCCCAGGCATCAATTGGATCACAAGGCAGTGCTTTCTCTGAGATTTCTGAATTCCATAGTCAACCCATTCAAGGTATTTACTCTTTTAGGATTATTCTTTATCCGTTTTTATTTCTTACCTTTGTTGGTAACTTTTACATTTTTTCTCCTTAAAATTTGTTGTCACGGTTAATTTGGTGTACTTGCATTTGCAGCTTGTCGTGAGTGTGTGCGAGCGTGCTTTGGTTGGTTGGGGGAGGGGAGGAGGGTTGGTTACGTTCTGAGTATACAAATGGAAAAATTGCTTCTTGCTTGATTTGATCCTAATGGTTTCTAAGATGTGAAATTGTGGAGTCTGTATTCAGGAATTGCGCTTAGCTAGCTTCCTTTTATAGACAGATGCTTCTTCAAAATCTATTTTCGTATTGTTGTTGTAAGAGTTGGGCTAGGGTTCTTTTAAGCTCAGCTTTATTCGTGGGATATGTGTTTCAATCAACTTGAGCACAATGAGTAATATGTATGGAGTTGCTTGCCTCTCAAAGAAATTAGAAATCAGGTAGGTTAGTGGTATAATATCTTTGCTTGGAAAGTTTAAACCAAAGTTTGCAAAACTAAAATTTTGACCAAGTTTAGAGAATTAAGTGATTTAACCTTTTTGGATTTTGCTTACTCGCCATTCACTAAAAATACGAGTGCAAGATTTATGCGTAGTCAATTGGATTTGACATATGCTTCTCTGAAGTTTTTGTGGACATAGTTATGTTTCCTCTTTAAGCATGACACGATGAATTGTCTTTCTATACTGGTTACTGCCATAGCTTATGAGCATAATTGAATAATTTGTCTTAGTTAAATGATATTTTGATAATTTTAACTGATTCAGAAACCCATTTTCCATTCTTTTGTGGCTTCGGTAGGTCCTATTTCTTGGTTTGCTTTTCTGGCCATGCACTTATTGCTAATGCTTACAAGTCTTTTGTCCATGCGTAAACTTTGTTGCTATATTTTGGCACCACGTTTAATACCCTTCTCGAGTTACCATATTGATGTTTGGACAAAGAGTTAATTATTTTCAAATAGTTTGCCCTTGTGGAGAATATCAAGCTCCTTTCATGGTAGGTAAGTTTTGATTAGAAAAGAAAAGCGACACTGGCCGGGCAGCTTGAAAAACTAATTCCCCGGAGTGTATCTGAATGGGATAAGAATCGAGCTTATCTTGGATAAACATTCCTGGTTAATATGAATTTGGGCGAGTATCCGTTGAAATCTTTACTGAATGCAAATTTAAAACTAAGCATCCAGAACAATTTGTTAAGGATGTTGTTTTAGCTGTAACAAAAGTACCGTTGTTTCGATCTTTTATTGGAATAGCCATTTTAGTCAAATTATGCAACATTGCTGGGTTGGTTGGTACTCCGCGTTTGACCATTCCTAGCATTTTTCTGGCTGTGTATGTGATGTGTTCGCTCAAGCTTTTTTTATAGGATCATGTGATTCTCAGTTTTTCCACTTTGCCCTATGGGAAAAATTAGTTTGTCACTTAGTGATGAAGATTCCAATTGTTAACAAGTGCTCCTGAAGATGCATATTTGATCTGTAATTTTTTCCCCCCGGTCTTTTAACTGCATCTTAATTGCTGCAGTGAACGAAAAGAATGGCACAAAGAGCCCTTCCAGCGTGCAATCTCTTAAGGTTCACCATGAGCAAAAACCTCAAGTGCCTCCTGGATCAGTGGTTGGCAAGGCAGCAGTTGACAAGGGAGCAAAAGAAGCAAAGGAGATGCTCAAGAATGTAATGCTTGATATGCCTTGTGTCTCCACAACTGGAAATGGGCCAAATGGTAAAAAGATAGAAGGATTTTTGTATAGATATCAGAAAGGAGAGGAAGTAAAAATTGTGTGCGTTTGCCATGGAAGCTTCCTGTCTCCGGCCGAGTTTGTCAAGCATGCAGGCGGAACTGAAGTAGAGCAACCATTGAGGCATATAGTTGTTAACCCTTCACCCTTAATTGTAGCAAGGAAGCTGTAACATGAACCCCCTTAGCACTTAGTCATCGCTGCTTAGTTTTTCTTCATTTGCCCAATTTTATTTAATGACGTCCATCACTTATTGGTTAAATTTGTTTGTGTTAGGCTGACGCCTTGACTGCTGAGGGGTTCCGTTGTTTCTTTTGTTACTTCCTACTTTCAAATGAGGTCTTCTTCCCGGTCTCTATATGCTACTATTTCATTATGCGCCAATATGATGGTATCCGTTGATTTTATATCTCTTTTAGCGGATTTCCATGTCCGGTATGGCTTCCGACAAAACTCTAGCAATTCTCGGGATGCATGGGCACGGAGTACTGCTCCTTAAACGGGTTCTTTTTTGACTAATCCATAACAGAGATATCAAGCGAAAGTGAATGGATGGTTGCGTCTGCAAACGCCGCAAGGCAGAGAATCATAGAGAAGACTGGGACAAATTAAAGGGGTAATACCGGACACGGCGAGGCCACTGACCGAGCATATTAGGCAGAGATCACGAAGATCTATCCTTTCTTTTTAAAGCATCAGGCAGAGATCACAGCGATGTCCCGAGCAAATAATATGAGGGCTGGGAGAAACAGGCTTTGACCCAGTGAACAATACTAATGGCCCAAGCGGGCAATATTTCTTTCCCTGGAGGAGGGAGAAGGCAAAAGTCACATCTTTCGGGATTGCAACTTCTAAAATTTCAGGCACGGTACACGAGAATCAAATATCACGGCCAATTTTGAAGTGGCAGGTGTTCTGCAGAATGATTCTCTTTGTGACTCTTATTTCACAGCAGCAAACAGAAATTGAATACATGTATACAACCTTAAGAAACGAATATCTGCATTCTTCTGCAGATCCATCAGTGAACCCCCTCTCTAATCAGGGACATTGATATGGAAAAATGGGGGCAGAAGCTATACTACAATTTACAAGCACCTAAACTTTAAAATCCGAATCTAGTGGCAGCCCGTGAAGACCCCGAGTGCACTTCTGCAGTCAAAAGTGCAAGTCCGCGGGCTGACCCCCTCTATGCATCAAATGTGTCAATCAGCTGACTCCTCTGTACTGTAGCTAACAAGATGGCGGCTGGAGTTGCTTCAGCCGTCTCACGACTTGCTTCATAGTGGGTCTGGTTGATAGGGATTCCACTGTGCACACAACTGCCAAGTGTAGAACTTCAACCAAATCATCATGGGACCTGCGTCCCACAATCCAGCTGTGAAGAACTCCTTGGCTCGGCCTTGCCTCAAGAGCATGCATGCCCAAGCTACTATGTTGAAACCATTTCCGTATGGAGAAAATGAGGGATCGAGAGCTTTCTTATCTGAAATTAACTCAAGCAACACGACGCCATAACTGTAGACATCAGCCTTGTCAGAGACACGGCAAGTCATTGCATATTCTGGGCAACATATCCAAAAGTTCCAGCCACACCATGTCGTGGCATGGGTCTCTGAAGTTCCCAACAGACGAGCCAATCCAAAATCAGACAAATATGCATTGTAGTCCTCATCCAACAAGATATTGCTAGGCTTCACGTCGCGATGAAGAACACGTGGGACACACTGATCATGCAGGTAGGCAAGTGCACGGGCTATGTCCAGGGCAATCTTGTGCAGTACTCTCCAATCCACAGCCCTTGTAGATCTTTCCTGAATGAACTTTTCCAAATTTCCCCCAGGCAAATAGTTATATATAAGAAACATCTCTGTTTCACTGGCATGGTATCCTATCAAAGTCACAAGATTCGGATGACGGAGTCTGCCTAGAGTTTTGATTTCTGCATCAAATTGTTGAACCCCTTGAAAGCGTCCTACTGCTAGCCTTTTTATTGCCACTAGGACCCCCGGTGCAATCTCAGCCTTGTAGGTTGCTCCAAATCCTCCATTACCAATGCAATTACTAGCATTGAAGTTTGCTGTTGCGCGGACCACATTCTCAAATGTCAGCGGAACACCAATGTCAGTAAAGACTGTAACTTCCTTCCTGGTCGACCCCCAACTCTAGACCTTGGATTATACTTTCTTGTGTAAAAGAAGAGGACAACAAGAGCAATGAGAACTGACACAATGGCTGCAGCAGAAGTTATGGATGCTATCTCAATTGAGTTGAAACCACTGTTCCCACCTTTCTGGGGTGGAGTAGGAGATGGAGTAGCGGCATAATTCTGTGGATCCCCAAATCTTCCCTGCTGATCTGCAGATGGGGTTGTTAAAGAATACATATGGCAAGATCCAAGATACGGGTTTCCTAGGACACTGTTACATTTCATCAAGTTACCATTCTGGGGTAGCGGTCCAGACAGATTATTGAATGACACATTGAATACCGAAAGAGTAGCAACGTTGGCCAACTCAGATGGAATCTGTCCCGTTAGATTGTTGTTGTTGAGGAGAAGAGTGGTTAAATTCCTCAAATTTGCAAGATCTTTAGGAATCTCACCACTGAGAGAATTTGACGACAGTTCAAACACTTCCAAGTACTGCAACTGCCCCAAACTTGTGGGAATGGTGCCAGTCAAATTATTTCCAGCCAATGAAAGAAACTTGAGATCCTTTAATTGGCCAAAACTGCTAGGAATTGGACCTTGAAAAAGGTTCCAGCTCAAGTCAAGAGCAACAACTGAAGCCAAATTCCCAAAACTGGAAGGAATTGTCCCAGTTATCTGATTTTCAGAGGCATCCAAAAGTTTCAAGGATCTGCATGTAGTACCAATATCAGCAGGAATTTGACCAAAAAATCCATTATTGCTGATATTCACAATCATACCAGTCAATTCTCCACATTTCTCAAACAAATTCCCAGGAAATGGCCCAGAAAGCTTGTTATTACTGGCAAAAAATGCATAGATAGTATTGCCCTCCAACCAATCAGGTGCAATAGGCATCGACTGCAAGGTTCCTGTAAAATTATTACTCCCAAAGTTATGAAATACATACACACCGTCACCATCAACAAATGACTCAAAAGGAATTTCAGCTCGAGATTTTTCAGCAAAATATGACAAGTATGCAGATGATATATCACTGATATCTCTATCCGTGTTGGGGGATGAGCACATTTGCTGTTGTAAAATATGACAATTATCAAATCAAAAAAAAAATTAAAAGCAAAACCACACATACTCAATTAAAATGTGCAAGCTAAGAAGTGTTGAAGCGCCACTTTTCATTATTGTATTGATAATACTACATATAAAGGGTAATTTCTTAGGTTTTTAGATGCGAAAGTTGTTGTTAATTTCAAAATTAGTGATGCCGTCGAAATTACTTTTAGCTAGCAATGGGGCAAAACGGTCCGAAATGGGGAGTAAAGCACACGCAGTGTTCAAATATCCTCACCACCAAAAACCATGGTCCGAGAAGGTGCCCCCCAAGTTCAACTGGGAACAACTTGCTCACATGCATCTGACCAGACGACGCCAGCCGTACGATGTGATTTATGATACTGGTTTCTGGTGCTGTCGCCGTCAACTAGTTGTTTGATGCTGCTTACCTGTCCATGTGCTATGAAAATTGGACACGTGGACTTCCACCACGTGGCAACCACCCAACAGCTTTTCCAGCAACTTGCGGCCTTGCGGGCTCCATTCTTGATCTCCTCCACCAAGGGTATTCTTGCCTTATTTTTGGGTGATTCTTTTGGGACCACATGTTGACAAATAAAAGTCACACCCACTGAAAGTTCAATGTTCATCAGCTTTCACCATTCTAATCACAATTAGCAATTCCAGACGGTTAACTAAAAAAAAAAAAAAAAAAAAAAGGTATGCTTGTGTCACAACTTGTGTGTGTCTTGTATGTATAGATTCAATTTATTTATACCAAAATACAAAAGGGTGTATGGATTAGCAAGAGATCATTGATTAGTTAGTCAAATCACCATGACTTCAGAATATGAAGTTAATCAGTAAACCATGGCTGAACCAAATAAACCAATTTTAGCATAGATAATTAAGCAGCGAAAGTAAAATAAATACTTACTTGCAAAATAATGGCGAAAGTAACACTCATTCGCAGACCAATAAGCCAAGGAAGGGGTGAATAGCTTTTCTGACACCTAAAACATAGAAAGTTTGAAAGTTTTGATGAAGAAAATTATATGTTTAAAAGTTTTGATTTGCATATCTTGTTTGGAAAAATTAAGAGTGATGAAATTTTTTTCAAAAAATGAATTTGTTAATTTGGTAAAAAAAAAAAAAGAAGAAGAAAATTCTAATTTAAAATGTCAAGGAAAAAAGATTGTTATTGAAAATTTTGTTGGTTCGAACTCTCTTCAATATGATAAAAATATTTAATTTGGTTGATCATTTTTTATTGGAGTTGAAAAACTTTTTTACATGAGAAACTTAATTTGTGGTATGAATTTTTTGGATGAGTACGGTTATAGCTACTCTGATTTATTTGTAGTGATAACTTTAGCAAGAAAGAAAACAATATATAATGTTATATTCTTAGACACTTATATTGGTGGTAAATATGATGACTGTGATAATTAATAGATTTGTATGAATTAGTACCTTGATCATGATGAAATTATTGAAAAATTATTTGCAAAATATAAAGTGCACCCACTATTATGTGTAAAAATGAAGATGAAGATGACGCGTTGCGTATCGTCTATTTGCCAATTGAATTTTCAATAGAATTATTGCTATAGATGGAGCTGGATTCGCCTCGATTGAGAGTTTAATTCAAATGAGGCAATGTTGATAAAATGAACTAACTTTAGAAGTTTTTATTCATTTTTTTACAAGTTTTTTTTATTAAAGTTGGGCTTTTAGCAGTGTATGTGTTTTATTTGATAATTGATCATCCAAGTGATTTTTCACCCAACAAGTCTGATAGATTATAAATACGATATTAGTTAGGATATTTTTTAGAAATTAGTCAAGAGGAGTATGTAAAGTTTTACTGTGACGTGACTTTTTCTTCTGTTGTTTCATATTTCAATAATAGTGTAAATTATTTATTTTCTTCTCTCTTACATAAATATATTTTGAGTTATTATTTTATCCCTTCAATTCTATAATCCTGCATGCTTAATAATTATTAGAACCCTAAATTTAGATTTTACATGAACATTACACTAGTTTGGTTTGAACTATGGGATAGAGCTTTAGGCTCTTCATTGTTGGGCTTTGATGAGATACCGAGAAAGTCATGCACCACTTTGATAATCTTATCTCAAGCGATGATAAATTTCTCTCACCCAAATAGACTATTCACCATTGAATTGAAATACTAGTTCATAGTAATGGGTAATATGCTTCTGAATATTACCTAGGGATGTACGCCAGCCGAGCTACTCGCGAGCTTGGTCAATGACTTGTTTTGAACTCAGTCAAACCAAGTTTCACCCGAGTCTCGAGCTACTCGACTCGAGTACACATTCGAATCGAGTTTGAGTCAGAATTTTGCCGTTCGTAATTCGTCGAGCCGTATAATTTAAATAATATATATGTATTATAATTATAAAATGACTGTTATGGGTATAATCTATATTGAATTTACAAATAAGATATCGAGTCAAAAAACTTGATTAGTCGACTCGATAAAACTTGACTAAAGGTCGAACTTTAACGAGTCAAGTCTCAAACTTTTAATGATTTTCTCGAGTTTGAGATTTTTCAATTCAATCAAACTCGAGCTAGCAATACTCAAGCTCGACTCAGCTCCATTACATACCTACGAAGAAGCAAAAATGTTTGGGACTGCTAGAAGTGAAGAAGACTTGAATAATGAGGACGTGATTGAGAGGAGGTGACGGCTGCTTTTGCCATTTTCTTGACTACCTTTTCTTTTTCAAGCAAATTGGCAACATGACGGGCTTTGGTGTTAAACTAACACAATTTGCGCGAGCAAGTTGCGCAATTTCTTTGTTGACGATTACGACAGCTGTCTTTCAGACATGCAAGCAATTTTTATTTCACGCTCAAGGTGACGGAAGTGAATAAAAATAAATGTTGCCCAATCGATCCACTTGCCCTATTCTCCAAAATTCAGATTTTAGTACCTTTTCCAGTCCTTGATCATTTGTTTTTATGTCTCCATCAGCTGAATTGACTGCTTTATTTGTCTATGTACTTCAAAGAAAAAAATTTAAAAATTCTAACCTTTTCCTTTTTTAATGCAAATGAGAAGATTTAAATTACGAATCTCTTCCTCATCTCTCGAACCATTCAATCCAATTCATCTCTTGCGAGTTCTAGCTTCTAATCATTTTTATTGGACCAAATTGGAAATTGGCATCCCAAAAAAGCACCAACTCAGAAGAACTACATTCACCATGTCCTTGAAGCCACAACTGGCTGGTTAATGCCATCCATTAGCACTGACAATGGCAGTGTCACGTGTCTCAGTCACCTTCGTTTGCAACTGCAACAACTTCATCAACCACCTCCGTAACCACTGAGCTAAACCCGGTAGGTAGGAGGTCAGGGTTCGACCCATGCCTCCCACTAAATTGTCTGTCCTTCATGAACAACTCGATTAGTCTCAACAAATCTTCTTAGGAGTTGGTGTCCAGTGTCCGCAAGGGTCCGAGTCCTGTGACTATCGTAGTCGGGGGATGGGGCCTCTTCTTCCAGGTCGGAGTGAGATTAATCAGATTCGTAAAGATTGATCCGGACACCCATTCCATCAGCCAAAAAAATAATAATAATAAATCAACCACCTCTGTCTCCAGCAAAACGATAAAGGAAAAAGATACTTACGTGACTTGGGGTGAACCCAATCAACGTTAAAAGTACAACAAATGGTCCACAAATCCGATATCGCAGCAAAATGGAAGTAATTAATTGTTTAACATATGAAATCAGCAGCAGCAGAAGTCATCATACCAAAAATATAAAGCTGGTGGAACTTGAAAGTAATACTTACTAAAAAGCTTCACATTCTAATTCTGAAAAAGAAAAACCAAAACATGTAATTTACCTCGTTTATCTATTGATAGTTTTGAATCCGCGAAGGCTCAAAATTTCTGCTTTTCGCAAGGGTTATTCGAGCAATCAGCAACGTAAACGAGAGGGCAAAAACCGGAGCTCCGATGAGACGTATACGTGTCAAAATCTTGACGGGCAACCGATCCCAGACATTGATTTGAGAGACGATGACAAATCCTCCAACAGAAGCCCCACAGTCATTATTGTTGTCAAACTTTTGTGCTTCCAAATCGTTGGCGTCAGAATGATTAACACCGCAAATCAATACGTGGTTCGGCAATTTCACCTTTTTTTTTTCCTTTCTTTTTCTTTCACGGTGTAAAGTTTAAATTGACGGCTTCGATTGGATGACGAAATTTTGAGTTCAGTTAAAACTTTACCCTCCGAGTCGACCCAAAAAGAAACGGCTTTATCCTCTTTCTCAGTAGCGAAAGGCAAAACGGAAAATCTTTTGTTTTCAAGGCACAGCGCAGGATGACATCTTAATCGCTCGGTATGTTAAATAATCTGACTGATGACATCTTATGAAAACAGCGGGACGCTAAAAAAGCAGATAGATATAGACATCGTTGGTCATGCTGTACGTAGATTTAGACTGATTTGATCCAAGACAACAGCTCAATTGATTCTTTCTTAGGTTTGTTATTTGAAGCTTTGGAAACATTCTTGGGAGTTTATAGCGTGCCAACATGGTATTTCTTAAATGAAGTTTTCAGAAAATTAGAGGGCATTTGGATTTTCATTAAAAAAGAAGATTATTCTTCTGACACGCTTTCCAATTGTCATTGTGTGTCGTGTATTTCATATTGCTATACTATTCTTTTTTTAATAAAAAATTTGAAAAATTATAATCCAAGCAAGACCTAATTATGCATTAATCGCTTTTGATGAAAACTGGGAATTAGTTGACTCACAAAAAAGTTGAAACTAAGGCCCTGTTTGATAATTCAATTCAACACTTAAGTTTAATGAATTCATATCTTAACATATTCAGAACGTTTGATAATAAAAAATTGAACATCTGAATTAATTAAGTAGCACTGAATTTTTCTAGCCAAAACTTGCTTTCAAAATTAAATGATAAGCTATTCAGTTATCACTGAATGCAATATACACTC